TCTCCAGCTCAGGGAGAGTTTCGGCTCGGACTTTCCTGTTCTGCGTCTGCACTCCGACAGAGGCGGAGAGTTCTCCTCTGACCTTCTGCGGGCCTTCTGTCGTGCACGAGGCATCCGCCAGACCTTCACGCTTCCGGACTCTCCACAGCAAAATGGGATTGCTGAGCGCCGCATTGGCATGATCATGGACGTCGCTCATGCGTCCATGGTCCATGCGGCTGCCCCCCATTTTCTGTGGCCGTTTGCGGTTCGGTACGCGGCGCATCAGATCAACCTTCACCCCCGGGTCTCCATGCCGGAGACCTCCCCTGCTTTACTGTGGACGGGGAAGGTTGGCGATGCGTCTGCGTTCCGTGTCTGGGGATCTCGAGCTGGTGTTTTTCCGCGACTTGTCTGCGGACAAGCTGTCCCCTCGTGCTGTTCCCTGCGTCTTCCTTGGCTTCCCTCCTGACGCGCCAGGCTGGCAGTTCTACCACCCCACCTCGCGCCGTGTTCTGTCCTCCCAGGACGTCACCTTTGACGAGTCGGTTTCCTACTACCGTCTCTTCCCCTATTGCGAAGACTGCGTCCCTCCCTCCCCCGCTGCTCTTCCTTGCGCCAGGTCCCCCTCCGGTAGACGCCCTCCCCCCTCAGGGTCCCGCCCCCTCAGGTGTGTCCCAGGTAGATGCAGTCGAGCCTGTCGAGGTAGCTGTTGACTCTGGTGCTGCTAGGGGTGCTGAGCCTGGGGGTGCTGCGACTGGGGGTGCTGAGCTTGGGGGTGCTGAGCCTGGGGGTGCTGAGCTTGGGGGTGCTGCGCCTGGGGGTGCTGAGCCTGGGGGTGCTGCGTCTCGGAGTGCGGAGCCTGAGGGTGCTGGGCCTGCTCGTGTGGCGTCTGGTGGTGCTGGGCCTGGAGGTTCTTCGGGTGCTTCGTCCCGGCGGGAGCTACTCTCTCCACAGGAGCTGCGTGAGTGGTTTGCCCGGCGCTGGAGGCGTGCTGCTGGAGCTGGCGGTGCTACGGACGCTGGAGGTTCTGCTGCTGCTGAGGGTGCTGGTGCAGCGGGTCCCGGAGGTGCTCGTACAGGGTGTACTGGAGCTGCTGGGCCTACGGGTGCTCCTGGTGCTGGAGCTGGTGGTGCTACTGGTGCTACTAACGTTGGTGCTGCTGGTGCTCCTGGAGCTGGAGCTGCTGCGACTTCTGATGGTCCGCCTGGAGCTGGAGCTACTGGGGGTGCTGGCACTGGCGGTGCTACTGGCGCTAGTGTTTCTGGGAGTGCTGGAGTTGGCGCTATTGGAGCTGGGGGTGCTTCTGGTGCTGGTGCTGCCGTTTGGGGTGCTGGTGCTGTTCCTGCTGGCACTGGTGGCGCTGCGCGGCCACGGCCGTACTTCGTTCCGCTCCTTGAGCAGGTTCTTGGTCTTCCGTCCTCTCTTGGTCCTGCTCCTGGCTTCGAGTGTCCGCCTCCTGTCCAGTCTGAGTCACAGTTACAGCCAGCCTCCCCGCTTCCTTCTCCTTCTCCCTACACTGGTCTTAAGAGATGTCTTGCTGAGCGTCGTGAGCCTGCGTCTCGCCCTGCGTCGCCTGTCCGTGCTGCTCGCACTAGTGGTCGTGGTTCGCGTCAGCGTCCTCCCCCTGTCCCCGGCACGCACCGGATGTCTCTGCGTCCTTCCACTGCTCCGCTGCGTGCCCCTTTGCCCTCTCCTCCAGCGTCCTCTCTTCCTGAGCTTCCTGACCCTGAGTCGGACTCCCTTCGTGCTGCGCGTCCTACTGTCACACGTCTCCTTGCTACTGTCGTCACTGACCCTTCCTTTGAGTCTACTGCTGCGTCTGCCCTCGTTGCTGAGCTTGTCGACTTCGCTGCTCGCTGTCGCCTAGACTACGCTGCTAGTCTTGTCGCTGAGTCTGAGTCTGTCTGTCCTCCGTCCGTCGGGGGTGAGTGTGCTCTTGGCACGGACGTCCTTGAGGACAGGCAGGAGGAGTTCCAGTGCTTGGCTGCTGCTTCACCTCATCTCGTGTCCATGCTGCTTGCCCCTGAGGGAGACCCGGATGCACTTGACATCCCGACTCCGCGCTCTTACGCGGAGGCGATAGAGGGTCCCTACTCCTCTCAGTGGCAGGCAGCCATGGACGCAGAGATGGCTTCCTGGAAGTCCACAGGCACCTACGTTGACGAGGTTCCCCCGCCTGGGGCGAACATCGTCAGTGGCATGTGGATTTTCAGGGTGAAGCGGCCGCCGGGTTCCCCGCCTGTCTTCAAGGCGCGTTACGTGGCTCGTGGCTTCAGTCAGCGGCAGGGAGTTGACTACTTTCAGACCTTCTCTCCCACCCCGAAGATGACCACTCTTCGGGTACTGCTGCACATAGCCGCTCACCGAGACTACGAGCTGCACTCTCTTGACTTCAGCACTGCTTTCTTGCAGGGCAGCCTGCACGAGGAGATCTGGCTGCGCCGCCCACCTGGCTTCACTGGGACTTTTCCTCCTGGCACCCAGTGGAGCCTCCGGCGGCCAGTCTACGGTCTCCGCCAGGCACCTCGTGAGTGGCACGACACATTGAGGACTACACTTGCGGCTCTTGGGTTTGCTCCTTCTACTGCCGACCCGTCGCTGTTTCTGCGCACCGACACTTCTTTGCCGCCGTTCTACATCCTCGTCTACGTCGACGACTTGGTCTTTGCTACAGCTGACACTACTGGACTCGCCTACGTGAAGTCCGAGCTGCAGAAGAGACACACGTGCACAGACCTGGGTGAACTGCGCAGCTACCTTGGCTTGCAGATCATCCGGGACAGAGCACAGCGTACCATTACCCTGACTCAGTCACACATGGTGCAGCAGGTCCTTCAGCGCTTCGGCTTCACGTACTCCTTGCCTCAGGCCACTCCTCTGTCTAAACGCCACTCGCTCTCAGCTCTGCCTTTGGATGAGTCCGTAGAGTCGAGTGGCCCGTACCCAGAGCTTGTTGGCTGCCTCATGTACCTGATGACCTGCACTCGACCTGACCTTGCATACCCTCTTAGCATTCTGGCACGCTATGTTGCTCCTGGGAGACACAGACCAGAGCACATGGCTGCAGCGAAGAGGGTGTTGCGCTACTTGTGCAGTACGTCAGGCATGGGGCTTGTGCTTGGAGGGCAGAGTCCAGTGGTCCTCACTGGTCACGCAGACGCTTCTTGGGCTGACGACCAGGCTACGCAGCGGTCGTCACAGGGTTACACCTTCAGCCTTGGCTCCGGCTCTGTTTCGTGGCGGTCTACCCGCTCGTCTTCTGTTCTCAGCTCCAGTTGTGAGGCTGAGATCTACGCAGGGGCCATGGCTGCACAGGAGCTACGCTGGCTCACCTACCTGCTGACTGACCTGGGAGAGCCGCCTCGTTCTCCTCCAGTGCTGTACGTAGACAACAAGGCCATGCTGGCCTTGTGTCGGGAGCACAGAACGAAGCACAGAACGAAGCACATCGCTCTTCGCTACTTCCTTGCTCGTGAGCTGCAGCAGCGTGGTCAGCTGCGCCTTGCTTACGTGGCCTCTCAGGCCAACACTGCTGATATCTTCACTAAGGCACTCGCGCCTTGTGATCATCAGCGCTTCTGTACTCTGTTAGGTCTTGTGCCTACCTTGCCTCACTTGCTCACTTCTTGACCTTGCTTGTACTGTTACATATATATACCTGCTCTTGCTTGTTTAGCGTTATATATATGTAATCTTGCATGTGAACTGGCCTTGTGGCCTTGAACTTGTGCTCAGAATGTGTGGTGACGTTGTGATCCACCCTGATCTTGCTTTGCCTTGCTTTGCTTGACTGGTCTTGTGACCCCTTGTTCTCCCCCACTTTGCCTATGGGGGTGTGTCAAACTCATACACTATAGTCTGTGTAGGCTGTAGTGGGGTAGCTTACATGGGGTACAACACTTTAGGGTTTGGTACTTGTACTCCTCATGCTGCTCAATTCTTTCATTCCTCGTTTCTTTACAGAAGACAGAGAGAGAGAGAAGGAGAGAGTAAAAGAGTAGCGACAAAGAAAGAGACAGAGGAAACGAGAGGGAGAGCGTGCTAGAGAACGAAAGAGAACCTTCTGTTTTTTTGTTAGAACCCGCTGAGACCTTGTAATTTTGGTTTTTATTTTCGTACAGTCTTTTGCTGTAACCATTTTTCTCGTCTACATGACTCTTGCTGTAATCCGCCAATTCTTCTGTTCGTAGCTGCATCGTATCTTCTTTCTTATTTGTTTCTGCACCACAACGTTGTTCTCTCTGTCAACATTATATGTTTATATGATTGTAGGCTGTAGTGGGTGATACCTTAGGGGGTACACTGGATTAGGGTTTCCTATTTGTATCCATCCTTCTGTTAGTACAGTCATTCCAGTCAGTTATTCTTGACATGGTTTCAGAGCAGGTCCTTCGCTAGGACCGTCCTTCGGGCCCACCTACCTACCTACCTACCTACTACCTACCTACTACCGGAGCGCGTTCTTAGCGCCTCCCCCGTAGCGCCCTCGAGCGCTTCAAAAATTTTTTTTTTTTCAGGCCCCGCTGGCCCCGTCGATCGAGCCCCGTCTAGAGGCCCCGCGGCCCCGTCGTTTTTACCTAGAGGCCCCCCACGGCCCCGTCGCTCCGCCCCTTAGCGCCTCTAACGACCCCGCTGCCCGCCCCTTAGCGGCCTCGTCGGCCCCGCCACCGCCCGCTACCGACCCGCGCAGCCCGCGTTTCACCCGCGCGGCCTGCGTGCTACCCGCTGCCGGCCCGCGCACTCCCTGCAGCCGCCCGCCCGCAGCCGCCCGTCGCCTGTTCGCCCACGCCCCGCAGCCGCCGGTCTCCTACTCGCACACGCCCCGCTGCCCGCAGCCGCTTGTACGCCGCTTCTTCCGCTGCTGCTTGCGCACCGCTGCCTCCCGAGCGCCACCGCTGCCCGTGCGCCGTCGCTGCCCCTACGCTGCCGCTGCTCGTGCGCCACCACTGCCCGTGCACCGCCGCTGCCGCCCGTGCGCTTCTGCAGCCGCCGCCCGCGAGGCACTCGCTCTCACTGCTATGTATGCGATGTCTATTAGTGGAGAGGGTGCTCAGTACTTGCGTGTTCCGCCCGACCCGGGCATTCAGGCCAGTCCGGCTGCCGCTCTAGGTGCTAGTGCGTCTGCTGCTCCCTGGTGAGGCCGCTGCCCTAGGTGCTCGTGCGTCCGTGCCCCCTGGTACTGAGTCGACTGCAGCACTGCACACCTTCACACTGGACTCAGGTGCTTCTCGCTCCTTCTTTCGTGACCGCACTGTCCTTGAGCCACTCGCTCGGCCAGTTGCTGTCTCTACCTCCCAACGTTCTCTACGAACCTGGTGGCAGGTAGTGCGCTCCAGGACGGAGGTGTTCACCAGTTCACCCCTGCCTACGAGCGCGTGACACACTGCACGTGTGCTCGGACGGGTCGCCACCTGGCTACCTTCACTCGGGAGCCGGGGTCGGACCTTTACACACTGACCACTGAGTCCCCTCAGGTAGCTGCGTCTGCGTCTGCGTCAGGTCAGCTGTCCGCCCCCTGCTCGTGTCGCTCTCTGGCGCATGAGACTGTCCTTTGGCACCACCGCCTTGGTCACCCGTCTGTGCAGCGCCTTCGGGCTATGCACAAACGGGACCTTGTTGCTGGTCTTCCCAGGGTGCTCCCTCCCCTTCCCGACTCGCCTGCTCCTCCCTGTATTCCCTGTGTCGAGGGACGGCAGCGCGCCGCTCCTCACTCCTCCTCCTTTCCCCCGACGACTGCTCCCTTGCAGACGCTCCACATGGACGTGTGGGGCCCAGCCCGCGTCCGTGGTCAGGGTCAGGAGAGGTACTTCCTGATTGTTGTTGACGACTTCTCGCGCTACACCACGGTCTTCCCCTTGCGCGCCAAGGGTGACGTCCCTGATGTCTTGATCCCTTGGATCCGCAGATCTCGTCTCCAGCTCAGTGAGCGTTTCCGCTCTGACTTCCCTGTCCTGCGTCTGCACTCTGACAGAGGTGGGGAGTTCTCCTCTGGCCTATTGGAGGCCTTCTGTCAGCAGGAGGGCATTGAGCAGTCATACACGCTTCCGGCCTCTCCACAGCATAATGGGGTTGCTGAGCGTCGCATTGGTCTGGTCATGGAGGTCGCTCGTACCTCCTTGAGCCATGCGGCTGCCCCCCATTTTCTGTGGCCGTTTGCAGTCCGATACGCTGCGCATCAGCTCAACCTCTGGCCCCGTGTCTCCTTGCCCGAGACTTCTCCGACATTGCGTTGGACGGGAGAGGCTGGCGATGCGTCGCGTTTTCGGGCTTTTGTCCACGACACGTCCGCGGACAAGCTCTCCCGTCGCGCTGTCCCCTGCGTCTTCCTTGGCTTTGTCCCGGACGCCCCTGGCTGGCAGTTCTACCACCCCACCTCGCGTCGTGTCCTGGCCTCTCAGGACGTCACTTTTGACGAGTCCGTCCCCTACTACCGCCTCTTCCCCTACCGCACTGCCCCGCTCCCCCCCCCGCCTCTCTTCCTCGCTCCAGGTGCTGAGGTACCAGACCCCCTCCCCCCTCAGGGTGCCGCTCCCTCAGGTGTGTCCCAGGTAGACCCGGGTGAGCCTGTCGAGGTAGCTGTTGACTCTCGTCCTGCTAGGGGTGCTGAGCCTGGGGGTGCTGCGTCTGGGGGTGCTGAGCCCGGGGGTGCTGCGTCTGGGGGTGCTGAGCCTGGGAGTGCTGAGTCTGGGGGTGCGGAGCCTGGGGGTGCTGAGCCAGGAGGTGCGGAGCCTGGAGGTGCTGAGCCTGGGGGTGCTGAGTCTGGGGGTGCTGAGTCTGGGGGTGCTGAGCCTGTGCGTGCTACACCTGGAGGAGCCCTCTCCTCCCAGCAGCTGCAGGAGAGGTACCTCGAGTACTGCCGCCTCCGGAGAGGTGCTGCTGGAGCTCGTCCCGGTACTTCCCCTCCTACCCAGGAGCTCCCCCCCATTCAGCAGATCCGCGAGTGGTACACACGGCGCTGCAGTCTTCGGAGTGGTGCTCCTGGTGCTGCGGACCCTGGGGGTGGAGCTGCTGCTGGTGCTGAGGACCCGGACGGTGGAGCTGCTGCTGGTGCTGAGGACCCGGCCGGTGGAGCTGCTGCTGGTACTGAGGACTCGGACGGTGGAGCTGCTGCTGGAGCTGAGGACCCGAGCGGTGGCGCTGCTGCTGCTACTGAGGACCCGGGCGTTGGAGCTACTACTGGTGCTGAGGACCCGGCCGGTGGAGCTGCTGCTGGTACTGAGGACTCGGACGGTGGAGCTGCTGCTGGAGCTGAGGACCCGAGCGGTGGCGCTGCTGCTGCTACTGAGGACCCGGGCGTTGGAGCTACTACTGGTACTGAGGACCCGGCCGGTGGAGCTGCTGCTGGTGCTGTGGACCCGGCCGCTGGAGTCTCCTCTGCTTCTGGAGACGCTGCGCGGCCGCGACCGTACTTCGTACCGCTCCTTCATCATGTTCTTGGGCAGGCTCCTCCTCCTTGTCCTCCTCCCTCTGTAGAGTGTCCTCTGCCTGTCCAGCCGCAGTCACAGTTCCCGCCTACCTCGCCTCTCCCTGCTCCCTCTCCGTACACTGGTCCCACAGGAGGTCTTACAGAGCGTCGTGAGCCTGAGTCTCGTCCTGCGTCGCCTGTTCGTCCTGCTCGCACTGGTAGTCGTGTCCGTCGTGAGCGTCCTCCTCCTGTCCCGGGCACTCACTACATGACTCTGCGTCCCTCTACTGCTCCTCAGCGTGTCCCTCTGCCGTCTCCTCCTGCGTCTTCTTTGCCTCACGTTCCGGACCCTGAGTCTGACCGGTACCGTGCTGAGCACCCTACTGTCACGCGTCTCCTCGCTACTGTTGTCACTGACCCTACCTTTGAGTCCTCGACTGCGTCTGCTCTGGTCGCTGAGTTGGTTGACTTTGCTGCTGCCTATTGTCTTGACTACGCTGCTAGCCTTGTTGCTGAGTCTGAGTCTGAGTCTGTCTGTCCTCCGTCCGTCGGGGGTGAGTGTGCTCTTGGCACGGACGTCCTTGAGGACAGACAGGAGGAGTTCCAGTGTCTTGCTGCTGCTTTGCCCCGTCTCGTGTCCTTGCTAGTTGCCCCTGAGGGAGACCCGGATGCACCAGACATCCCGACCCCGCGCACTTACGCTGAGGCGATGGCGGGTCCCTACTCCTCTCAGTGGCAGACAGCCATGGACGCCGAGATGGCCTCCTGGAAGTCCACACGCACCTACGTCGACGAGGTTCCCCCTCCTGGGGCGAACATCGTCAGTGGCATGTAGATTTTCAGGGTGAAGCGGCCGCCGGGTTCTCCGCCTGTCTTCAAGGCGCGTTACGTGGCTCGAGGCTTCAGTCAGCGAGAGGGAGTTGATTTCTTCCAGACCTTCTCCCCCACCCCGAAGATGACTACTCTTCGGGTGCTGCTGCACATAGCCGCTCACCGCGACTACGAGCTTCACTCACTTGACTTCAGCACTGCTTTCTTGCAGGGCAGCCTGCACGAGGAGATCTGGCTGCGCCGCCCACCTGGCTTCACTGGGTCGTTTCCTCCTGGTACTCAGTGGAGGCTTCAGCGGCCGGTCTACGGTCTCCGCCAGGCTCCGCGTGAGTGGCACGACACACTGAGGACTACACTTGCGGCTCTTGGGTTCGCGCCTTCTACAGCTGACCCGTCGCTGTTCCTGCGCACCGACACTTCGCTGCCGCCGTTCTACATCCTCGTGTACGTCGACGACTTGGTCTTTGCCACTGCTGACACTGCAGGACTCGCCTACGTGAAGTCAGAGCTGCAGAGGAGACACACGTGCACAGACCTGGGTGAGCTGACAAGCTATCTTGGCTTGCGGATCACCCGGGACAGAGCACGGCGCACCATCACCCTGACTCAGTCACACATGGTGCAGCAGGTTCTCCAGCGCTTCGGCTTCACGTACTCCTCGCCTCAGTCCACTCCTCTGCCTACCGGTCACTCGCTCTCAGCTCTGCCTTCGGATGAGTCCGTAGAGCCGAGTGGCCCGTATCCAGAGCTTGTGGGCTGCCTCATGTACCTAATGACCTGCACTCGACCTGACCTTGCATACCCTCTTAGCATCCTTGCACGCTATGTCGCTCCTGGCCGTCACAGGAAGGAGCACATGGATGCCGCTAAGAGGGTGTTGCGCTACTTGTGCAGTACGTCGGGCATGGGGCTTGTGCTTGGAGGGCGAGACCGAGTTGTTCTCACAGGGCACTCAGACGCTTCTTGGGCAGACGACCAGGCCACTCAGCAGTCGTCTCAGGGTTACACCTTCAGCCTTGGCTCTGGCTCAGTTTCTTGGCGCTCTACACGCTCTTCTTCTGTTCTCGGCTCCAGTTGCGAGGCTGAGATCTACGCTACAGCCATGGCTGCCCAGGAGCTACGCTGGCTGACCTACCTGCTGACCGACCTCGGAGAGCCGCCTCGTTCTCCTCCAGTCCTGTACGTCGACAACAAGGCTGCCATTGCCTTGTGTGAGGAGCACAGACTGGAGCACAGAACGAAGCACATCGCCCTGCGGTACTTCCTTGCTCGTGAGCTGCAGCAGCGCGGTCAGCTTTGTATTCGCTACGTGGCCACTGAGGCCAACACTGCTGATGTGTTCACCAAGGCGCTTCAGCCTCGTGACCATCAGCGCTTCTGCACTCTACTAGGCCTTGTGCCTACTGGACCTCACTTACTTACCTCTTGACTTTGCTTGTACTGTGATCACTATATATATCTATACCTGCATGTTTACTCTTGCTAGGTTGTGATCACTGTATCTCTTGCTCTGTTATAAACCTGCATGTGAACTGGTCTTGTGACCACTAGCTTGTGCTCGGAATTTGTGTGGAATCCTCGAGATCCACCCTGAGCTTGTTGTTGCCTTGCTTTGCCTTGACTGGTCTTGTGACCCCTAGGTCTCCCCCACTTTGCCTATGGGGGTGTGTCAAACATTATATGTTTATATGATTGTAGGCTGTAGTGGGTGATACCTTAGGGGGTACACTGGATTAGGGTTTCCTATTTGTATCCATCCTTCTGTTAGTACAGTCATTCCAGTCTGTTATTCTTGACACTCTCTTGCTCTCTGCATGTGCTCACGCTCTCTCCATCATCTTCGCCTCTTCCGATTCGTTCCTTCCATCTTCTCTCTATTTCAATTACCATTTTCTGTATTTTTTTTTAGACAGATCAGTACTTGGTTTGTATGTTTTTTTTGTTGTATGCTTTCTCGTGTTTTTCCTTTTGTTTTGCTTCGATTTCTGTTATTTTGTATTTTATTTGTCTTTCGGTTTGGTGGTTTGTGTTGACTACTATTGGGATCTAGAAACTCTTAAGCACACCTTTAATACACACTAGATAGTCCCCACGGGGTCACCTCCAAGGGTCCTCGGGTGCCTGGCAACGCCAGCCCCTAACCAAGGGTCCGTGTTTGTAGAGGGATTTCTCTAAGTGTAAGAACGGTCGTGTGCACTAAGAGCATTCCCAAGCTCAATTGCGCAGCGTTGACAACGAATTGGCTCGTATGCAGTAGTAGCTCTTCACGTCAATACGATGATAGAGCAAAATATTCACTGAAAGGATTAATGCAACCAAGCACAAGCACGCATCTTATATTTCGCCTAACACACAAGCATGGGAAAGCACAAAGAAACTGTTTAACTAGTCTTCATGACTTCGCCTTGTTGTCCTTGAAAAGCAGTTACGAAACTGCCCTTGCATTTGGCTTGTTTCGCCTTGTAGAAATAAGTGACTTCAAGTTGCACTCCTGCCAAATTTTCCCTGCTGACTGTCTTCGCGAACGTTCACGATTTCCCACGCGCAATCATGAACATTCGTGTGGGATTACCGTTATCACGAACGTTCACAGTTACAAAACGGTTTTTCACCGTTTTTCCCTGCATCGAAATTGTCCCTTTACGCGCGCTGCTTTCTCACGAAATTTCTGTGCGCTCTGCACAGTAAATGACAAGGCTCGAGATTCAGTTACAGAACTGAAATCTCGAGTCAATCCCGAAGCATCCCCCGAAACACACGCGCACCCCTCAGGTGCGCAATCATGCACGACCGATATTTCGGTCGTGCTGTACAGCGCACAAACGTGCGTTGTCCCGTTATGGGGTGATCAAAGTGCTGCAAATTTTTGACGTCGAGGCCAGGGCTGTCGATTGGTTTGGAGCCAGAACTTGAGAGGCTGAGGTGCCCCAAAAGTTGCCCTGAAATTTACGGGCTGAGAGCTAACCTAGCACTTGAAATCAGGGCTACCAGCTTTTTTGCACTTTCGTTAAGGAAAAACCTACATATTCGGAGAAAGTTGCTTGTCAGCCTGAAGAAACCAATGAGGAGCCCGATGTTAACCACATCAAGAACTACGTTATGTAGCTGGCTTGCGGGTCTTAGCGCTATGTCCTATTTTCCGAAAAGTGGGGGAAGTGGCTGGGATGAGGTGGGGGTTACGGGTGAGGGAATGGGAGGGAGGGAGGTGTTGGTATGGGACAATAAGGGCTAGCCGCGGGATCTGCACTTGAAATCCGGGCTAGGCCCACAACCAGCACTTTACGGGGACGGGCTGCCATCAAAGCCAGCCCTTAAAAGTCGGAAGCTGGGCTGAACCCAGCCGTTAATGTTCAGGGCATTAAGGGCATTTGCCCTTGAATCGTCAGCCCTGGTCGAGGCTGTTGGGCGAGATAGGTGAGCTGAGGGGTGCCATTTTTGTGATCAAAGTACGCCTCAAAAATTGCTGACGCCACCATCGCCACTTGTACGGTATTGAGCGCATCTGTACAGTGATAACGTAACCGCAACAGACAGCAAAACAGTTCGACAAGAATTGTATTCTCGAAATTGACGAAGCTGTACAATTCGCTGGTGGTTTTTCGCAGCCAAAAGACGTACTGTATATGCACACGAAAAAAGCATTGCGATTCCCGACAGTCGTCTGAATTCAATTGGTCTACTATTTAGGCCGGCATTTGTCCTGTGTGAAAGTTCGTCGCCGGCATTGTGATCAAAGTGCCAATTTCGACGTCGATCGACGTCGAGCACGACGTCTATTGACGTCGAGCCTTCGACGTCGCAGCTCATAAAAAAATACTTTACAAGCATACATACGGCTATAATATGTACTATACTAATATGTATTCTATTATCCATCATATTCATGCGTTATGCAATCATTGTTTTCAAGCATCATACTAATATATGCATTACAGGATACACAACAACAAAGTGGGTAAATCTCAACACACATGTGGGAGCACACAACCACATACGTTCCACAACAAGTATAGTGAGTGAGTCATTAAAATAATTCTCGTTTTTTTTCATATTTTAAATTTTTTAAATATGAAAAAAAAATACACATAACGATTGTAATAGGTTGCTTCGCAACCCAAAAAAAAAAAACCTTCAATTTCAATGTGGATGTTGGAACTTAGGCTTTCGTACTACATAGATCAGAAGTATTTGCATGTTCTTTTTTCTTGTAAATGTTCAAATGACTAGCAAACATGGCAACTACCACTCAAATTATGCACAGTGAGCAGGGCCTCAGATTCGTTTTTGCCTAGGCTGAACAGTCAGTGTTGTACCTAAACAAAAAGCTGAAGAATCAGTGTCATGGTTAAAAAAAAGGCTGACTAATCAGCCTCACTTTATAACTAAGGCTGAACAAAGCTAGAGTCCATTTTCAATTACCGTAATCACTTGGACATACCACCCGCCGTAATTGAACACCAACCGGGTGGCTTGTGCGGGGTGGGTGCTATAGCGGACCTCGTTTCTACTATACCCCCCTTTTGGGCCGATCCGGTATAAGACCCGGGGGGGGAGGGGGGTGTTCTGTACGGAAAAAATTGTTATTTTCGCCTAAATTTTGCGCAGGGACGTGACCGCACCAGCGAGGCTGCTAAGCCTGTTGCGGGACTCCTGCCACTGTGACTGCATGAATCCTCGTCGAGCGACGGGGGGTGTGTTTTCGACCAATCAGGGCATGACAGAGGGCCTGTTGGAGCTTGCAATGTGGCGGCCTCCACTCGAGGCTAAGGGCGTGTGCACTAGGGGTTCGAACTTCTGTCTAAGTTCAGACTTTTAGCGAGGTTCTACTCGGTACGATACTAATAAGAGACGTTTCGCCACGGTGCAAAGCGGTGAATGTTCGAACTTTGACAAATTTCGCCCAAAGTGCACACGCCCTAAATGTAAAAAAGTCTAGGCAGGAATGAATGAACTATCAGGAAGGTGGGTACAAATAGAAACCCTAACATTGGGCTGTACCCCATATGGGCTACCCCACTACAGCCTACAAACTATACTACAGCATACACATATATATATATGTATATATATATATAGTTTGACACACCCGCATAGGCAAAGTGGGGGAGAACAAGGGGTCACAAGACCAGTCAAGAAAAGCAAAGCAAGCTCAGGGTGGATCACAACGTCACCACACACACTGAGCACAAGCAAAGGGCCACAAGGCCAGTCCACATGCAGAGGTATATATGCAACAGGAACAGCACAGTGATCACTACCTAGCAAGAGCAAGCATGCAAGTATATGTATATAGATCACATTACAAGCAAAACCTACAGCAAGTGTGGAAACGTGGGTACAAGGCCCAACAAAGTACAGAAGCGCTGATGATCACCAGACAGAAGTGCCTTGGTGAATATATCAGCAGTGTTGGCCCGAGTGGCCACGTGAGTAAGACGAAGCTGACCTCGCTGCTGCAACTCTCGAGCCAGGAAGTAACGAAGAGCGATGTGCTTCGTTCTGTGCTCCACTCTGTGCTCCTCACACAAGGCAATAGCTGCCTTGTTGTCAACGTACAGAACTGGAGGAGAACGAGGCTTCTCTCCAAATTCAGTCAGCAGGTAGGTGAGCCAGCGTAACTCCTGTACAGCCATGGCTGTGGCGTAGATCTCAGCCCCACATATGGAGCTCAGAACAGAAGACGAGCGTGTAGACCGCCAAGAAACAGAGCCAGAGCCAAGGCTGAAGGTGTAACCCTGTGACGACCGCTGCGTAGCCTGGTCGTCAACCCAAGACGCGTCAGAGTGTCCAGTGAGGACAACGTCACCCCATCCTCCAAGCACGAGCCCCATGCCCGATGTACTGCACAGGTAGCGCAGTACCCTCTTAGCAGCATCCATGTGCACCTTTCGGTGCCTACCAGGAGCCACGTAGCGAGCCAGAAGGCCAAGAGGGTACGCAAGGTCAGGTCGAGTGCAGGTCATCAAGTACATGAGGCAGCCCACTAGCTCTGGGTAAGGACCACTCGGCTCTACGGACTCGTCCGAAGGTGGAGCTGAGAGCGAGTGACCTATAGCCAGAGGAGTGGACTGTGGGGAGGACCAGGTGAAGCCGAAGCGCTGAAGGACCTGCTGCACCATGTGTGACTGAGTCACGGTGATGGTGCAGCGTGCTCTGTCCCAGGTGATCTGCAAGCCAAGGTAGCTGCGCAGCTCACCCAGGTCTGTGCACGTGTGTCTCTTCTACAGCTCCGACTTCACCAGGGCGAGAGCCTCAGTGTTAGCAGTGGCAAAGACCAAGTCGTCAACGTACACGAGGATGTAGAACGGCGGCAGCGAAGTGTCGGTGCACAGAAACAGCGACGGGTCAGCAGTCGAAGGAGCAAACCCAAGAGCCGCAATTGTCGTCCTCAGTGTGTCGTGCCACTCACAAGGCGCCTGGCAGAGACCG